CCCTTCTGCTCGGGTGAGGTAGATGATGTGGCAATAGGCTGCAATCCTCGATCCGCGCATGCCGCAATCAGCTTGGCGTCGCAGTTCTTGAGGGAGAGAGTGCGCACGGTGGATGCCGTGCGAGTGCATGAGTCAGGGACGTCGTCCTCCTCCGTGCCCTTGGGGACGCAGATGAAGATCGACCAGTTGAGGTCGAGCGGGGCGACTCCGTCGTTGAAGATGGTCTCCATGAGTCCGTGGAGATGCTGCAGCGCACCAGGGCTGCGTCGCCATGCGGCGTACGTGAGTTGGTCAGGTCCCGCAGCGCTTGGAGGTGCTCTGCTGACCGCTCGTTCGAGGTTGTGGAGGGCAGGTTGGGGAAGTTCCACCACCGGGTGCCGCGGTGCATGCTTGTCCAAGAATGAGTCCATGGTCTTGAGCTGCTCAGCGTTCGGCATCTTCGCGAAGATCTCTCCCCAGTAGTTCGCCACAATCGTCTTCATGCCCGCGGGGTCGGAGACCACGTGCTGAGCCACCTGCGAGTCCTTGGCGGCACACGGTGTAGAGTCCACGCGCAGGCCAGAGAGGATCATGCGACGCCGCCAGGGGACCCACAGCTGAGCGTGTCTGGCGGCCTTACGTTCAACTCTCCGCCAGGCTGCGCTGTCGCGCACGTTGGCTGTCCGAGCTGCGGCCTCCGCCACTTGTCTTCTCATAGAGTGCACCCGCTCAGCAATTGCGTCGAAGTTGGTAGCAAAGCTGTTGGTGTCCACAATGTGCACGGTGCCGTCGGTGACCTTGAGGTGGGTCGCCAGCGCGGGGCAGGAGTCAAGAAGCCTGCCCGCAAGGACGGCGTCCTGTCGCCAGACGGCTCTCGCCGCCGATTTGAAGCCCATGTACGAGGTCTCGGCCGTGGAATCCTTGACGAGGAGGGAGAAGTTGGTTCTCAGCTGTTCATCCCGCACACGTCGAGCGGCTAGCTTCATGCACTGCTTCGCTGCTCTCCATCGACCTTCCGCCGTTTCCCCCTCTAAGGAACAGTGCGCCAGCATGAGCGAGTAAGCCTCGGGGTACTTCTTGTGGCTGAAGAGGTGCGTCGGAATAGGCTGCTCGTCTCGCGGGGCGTGTCGAGCAGCAGTGATCTGCAAGACGAGGGGCGCGTGGTCGCTGATGCCAGCCTCGGAGAGCTCCATCGCATCCCTCGCGGTGGTCAGGATCGTTGATACCGACAGCATGGCATGCGCGTCAATCCCCACGAAGATGCGGTCGATCGTGGACAGCTGCTTGCAGGACTTGTCGTAGTGAGTCGGCCATTGTGATTCAATCTCCAAAGCCGCAGCAAAGAGGCGCCGCCACGCAGGTTGACGTAGTTGGCATCGATTGTCAGGTCGTAAGCGCCACGCCGTAGCGTCAGAGGGCGCGCGTTGGCTGACTGGCGGGCGAGAGGCAATGTTGAAGTCCCCGACGGCCAGAAAGACGCGGTGCAGGGAGTCGCGGCGCGCCCATGCCAGGCCACTGGACCAGGTGCGCTGAATGGCGGAAAACTCGCGCGGCTTGAGGTCGTAGTTGTGAATGTTGAAGATCTGCATGCTGTACTTGCCCGTGCTGTCGGTGATCGTGAGGAGCGCCGCTCGGCCAGCGGCCACAGAGACGAAGCTGTAAGACGGTAGGGCTGGAGTGGCGTTCCGTGAGCTTGACCGTGTGTAGATTGGCTTCGTCGTGGGCGTCGGGGGAGGACTTCGTGAACTTGACCGATTGGTGGAGCGACTTGTAGCCGATGGAGACGAGGATGTACGTGAACTTGACCAGGGATCTTGAGTCGGTAAGGATGCTGCAGGGGGCGCGGCGCGCGCATGGGAACCTTCCCGCGGCGAGGCACCCCTGCATCCCAGAGATTCGGCTCTGGGTCCTTCCGCCCTTGGACATTCATCGATGATGCGAGGGACGAGAAAGGCAACACCACCCACGGCGGCGGTGGGGCCAGGGGAGAGGAAGCTCATGTACTTCTGCGGCTGCGCCTGGAGGAAGATCCTGAGCGCGTCCTCGGAGCCGTGGACCTCTTGCACCGCGATGATGGCATTGACCTTCATGTACGATGCGAGCAGCGCCTGCTTGCGTCTGCGCAGCCTGGCGTCCGAATGGAGTAGGCCACGAGCATTCCACACCACCATGTGAAGGCCACGAAAGCCATGTCGTGCTCCAGGAGGGCGCCAGGGCGCCCACAGCGGCGTGCTAAATCCACTCGGTATTGTCCTCCACGGAGAAGGCCTTCTTGAACTGCGCGTTGATGGACTCCCTGTCGATGTGCAGCCTGGCCACCATGTCTGGGTTCCACCTGATGATCGTGTCGATGTGTCGGGATTCGCCCATCTCGAGCTTGGCAACCTTGACGCCCTGGGAGGTGACGATGCCCCGTGCTCGCTGCGCACTGAAAGAGATGCCAGGATAAGCTTCTGCGAGCAAAGTCGAGAGCCTCCTCGACTGGATCTCCATTCGCACTTGCTGGGGCGACTTGTCGGGCGAGATGTACAGCGGGACGGTGCCACCTCCGACGCTCTGCGCGCAGAAAGCACGCCACCCGTTCCTGCCAGCGGGGTCTCGAAGCTGCCGAGCGAGGGCTTGGGCACGGGGTAGTGCGACGCCGTCGCCACCCTGCACAAGGACGTTGAAGCGTTTGGATGGGACAGCGGGGTCGAGGCGGACCATGTCATTGGTGAGGCCAGCAGCGCGAATCCACTCTTCGAGGCCTTGCAGCGCCTGCGCGGGACCAACCAGCTGCGGAGCGCCGATCGAGAAGACCCTCGGGTTGGGCTGGCGGCCCCACGCCTCCAGCTCTTGGAAGTCCATGAGGGGGAGCTCCTTCTCCGCGAGGGCCAGCACCTTGTTGATGTCACCGATCTGTTTGCGCATGGCAGCCTGCTCGGCCTCCAGCGCGTCGGCACGCTGACCGATGGAGGCGATGTCGCGTGTCTGCACGGCGAGGGATCTGTTGACGGCCTCCTGCTGGGTCTGGAACATGCGCACCAGCTGAGTCTGGCAAGACGTGACTTGCGCCATGGAGGTGGCAGCGATAGCATCAGTGGCTTGACGAATGCAGCTCTGGAGCATGGCCTGCATGTCTGTGCCGCCCGCGTCCACAGGGGTGGCCATCCCGCCGATGGGAGTGCCCGCGGCAGGGGCAGCAGCGTGTCCGTCGGCAGGAGCAGCGCGTTCATGCCATGGATCTCCACCAGGATGTTGCCACGGATCAGCTTGAGCATGATGGGGTCCAACTTGGGGCTTGCCCGTGGTAGTCTGCTCCACCTGCATGCCCATCCGCTCCTGCGTGGGGAAGGTGGGCGCGGCCTCGAGGGCGGCGGCGAGCTCCTCTTGGGCAGCACGGCCGAGACCAGCGGGGGCATGTCGTGCTCGATCACTGGCTGGAGATCCCGAGGCGTCGGCTTCGCCGTCAGAGCGAGGGTGGCCCCGCCGAGCGCGCCTCCGCGCCGGGGCGCGCTCGTTGGTGCTGCGGGAGGCGGAACGAATGTCCTCGGGCGGGGGCTCCTTGCCTTTGTCAGCCCGCCTGCGGCCGTCAGCAGCACCAGGACCACGGTGGCCGCCACCAGCGCGCCCAGCCCTGCGGCGCTCCTCCTCGGCCGCCATGAATTGCGATGGAGAGCCCTCGCGGGCACAAACCTGTGGGTCCAGGAGGACCAGTCTTTGGCGGCAGCACGCCCTGGGGGTGGCTGCAAAGGAATCTCGACTCCTGGCCGCGGCACAGCGGTATCCATTTGGAAGCCGCCGCGCGCCATGGCCTTGAGCCAAAATGGCTACGGGGGAGGAGGAGGAGGAGGAGGAGAAGGAGGAGGAGGAGGAGGAGGACGAGGAGGAGGGGGAGGAGGAGGAGTGGAGGAGGAGGAGGAGGAGGAGTAGGAGGAGGGAGGGAGGAGGAGAAGGAGGAGGGGGAGGAGGAGGGATATCGAGCGACGTATGAGAACCGTGGGGAGGAGGGTGAGGGAAGCACGCGCGGAGCGGGCACCGAGCGAGCATGGGTCTGGGACGGGGCGGCCCAAGGACCCCCTGTGGCGGTCAGCGAATCCGTCCTGGCCCGGCGGCGGCGCGGCCAGGCACGCGTGGGGCGGGGGAGGAGGAGGAGGAGGAGGAGGAGGAGAAGGAGGAGGAGGAGGAGGAGGAGCTGGAGGAGGAGGAGGAGAAGGAGGAGGAGGAGGAAGAATGAATGGAGGGAAGAAGGGGGGAAGGGAGGAAGGGAGGAAGGAAGGAACGAAGAAGGTAGGAAGGAAGGAGGAAGAGGAGGAGGAGGGGGGGGAATACCCGTGCGAGCGGAAAATCCGACCCGGGTGACTGAAGCCGAAGCCAAAGCAGAAGTGCACAGAGAAATGGAGAGGGCCCACCGTGCAGGTTTGGTTGACAGCACATCGTTGATCGTTGAGCGGTGCTGCAGCCTCCCCTGAGCACAGGCCCCCCCCAGAGCATCAGCCAGACAAGTCGGGTTTGCACCCTCATGCCTTGCTGGACTCTGGGCGCGTTTCGGCACTGCCAGTGCCGCCGTCACCCCCTCGTCAGGGCCGAGGAGGAGGAGAGGAGGAGGAGGAGGAGGAGGAGGAGGAGGAGGAGGAGGAGGAGGAGGAGGAGGAGGAGGAGGAAGAGGAGGAGGAGGAGGAGGAGGCGGAGGAGGAGGAGGTAGGAAGGAGGCGGACGGCCACGCGCAGGAAGAGGAGAGGCACGTGCGGGGGGGGGCGAGTCTGAAAAGAGAAAACGGCATTGGAGGAGGGCGAACCGTCTACGCGTGGGCCTCCTTGGAGGCAAGCCCGGGAGAGGAAGGGACCAGCACAGAGGGGGCCACGAGCGAGCGGGGGGCCGAGGGGGGCCGAGGGAGCGGCGCCGCGGCGCGGAGCACGACGGACCCCAGGGGGCCGAACGAGAAAGGAGCGTGGTGGAGGAAGTGACAGAGCCGAGCAGAAGCCCGAGCCCGAGCCCGAGCCCGAGTCTCCCTCCCCCCAAAAATCTGGGGAGCGCGCGGCCTGCCACAGGATGTTGGGCGCGTGCGCGGCGACGCTGGGGAGGAGAACCTCGTCCTGCCGCGGTCACAAGGCGGCCTGGGCCCGGCCCGTCCTCCCCCTCGCCCACCCGGGGTCCGACCCTCCCCCGGGGACCTTGGTTTCCCACACGTCCCCAAAAGAGTCCAAACCCACTGGGCCGCCTGGTGGGTCCGGCCTGTTCCCTCGGCTCGCTCATGTCGTGACGACGTCGGCGTTGAATCCTGATGCTGCGCGGATCGTTCGACATCCACCGATTCTGGCTCGCCGGCGGCGTTCAGCCTGGAACGCCCGCACAGGGTCGTCGCCGCGCCGGCGCGACACGAACCCTGCCGTGGGCGCGCAGTCCTGCAGGCCGGAGAGCGCGTGTGCGGCGAGCATCGCGGCCGCCACGCCGGGGGGCGGCTCCTGCGGCAGCGGATTTCGGGGCGCATTGCTCTTCCAGATGCGCTCAGAGTGGAGGCTCGACCTCCGCTGAGGGGGGGCATTGTTCTTCCATTCTGGAGTTTGTTTCTCCTGCTCCGGTCTGGAAACTAAAGGAAGGGCTGGGAGCCTCCGTGCAGCCGGGGACAGTTGCACGCGCAAGGAGGAGGACAGGGAAAGTCGAAGAAGGAGAGGAGGGAGGAAGAGGGAAGACATTATCAGCAAACGGACGCGGGGCACACCCGTGCCAAATACACTCCTGGTCAATAAGAAAACCATGAGATAAATAATCCTGCGGCTGAGCCGGGGGGGCGGAGACGATAAGAAACTAACCGCTAAAATCCCCGGCAATTTCTGAGCCGGCTGGCGCTCCCAGGGCCCTGGCGCGCCCGCGCATGTGTTTGTTCATTTGCGTCTTGGCATGGTTTCCCCAAAGCACGCCCGAGGACGCCAGGAGGTGGCGCCGACATCTGGCTTGCCCGCGTTGCTTTTTGCGTATTTGCGATTGCGCACGGCTGCACCAAAACGCGTCCGAGGACGCCACGAAGTGGCGCCGACCTCTGGCTCGCCCGCGTTGGTTTTTGCAAATGTGCGATTGCCCACGGCTGCACCAGGGCGCGCCCGAGGACGCCAGGCGGCCGCGCCGACCTGCGGCTCGCCCGCAAAAGTTTTTGCTTATGTGTGACCGCGCATGGCTGCACCAGAGCGCGTCCGATGACGCCAGGCGGTGGCGCCGACCTCTGGCCCGCCCGCCGTGGTTCTTGCTCATTTGCGATGGCGCGTGGCTGCACCAGAGCGCGTCCGAACACTTCTCGCTTGCCCGCGTCGGTTTTTGCTTATTTGCGATTGCGCGCGGCTGCGCCGGAGCGCATCCGAAAACGCCGGGCGGCGGCGCCGGCCACTGGCTCGCCCGCGGTGGTTTTTTTCTTTGGTTTGTGATCATTGCGCATGGCTGCGCCAGAGCGCGTCCGAGGACGCCGTGCGGCGGCGCCGGCCACTGGCTCGCCCGCGTTGGTTTTTACATACGTGCGCTTGCGCATGGACGCACCGGAGCGCGTTCAAAGAAGGCAGGCGGCGGCGCCGACCTCTGGCTCGCCCGCGATGATTCTTGCTCATGTGCGATTGCGCATGGCTGCGCCAGAAGAGCGCGTCCAAGGACGCCAGGCGGCGGCGCCGACCTCTGGCTCGCTCGCGTTGTTTTTTGCTTGTCTGCGATTGAACATGGCTGCGCCAGGGCGCGTCCGAGGACGCCAGGCGGCGGTGCCGACCTCGGCCACGCTGTTTTTCCTTTTGCTTACTTGCAATGGCGCATTGATGCGCCAGACGGTCGAGGACGCCGGGCGGCGGCGCCGACCTCTGGCTCGCCCGCGCTGCCTTTGCTCACTTGCGATTGCGCGCCGCTGCGCCAGAGCGCGTCCGAGAACGCCAGGCGGCGGCGCTGACCTCTGGCTCGCCCGCGTTGTTTTTGCTTTGTTTATATTGCGCATGGCTGCGCCAGAGCGCGCCCGAGGGTGCCGAGCGGCGGCGTTCCCCCCCCCTGGCTCGCCCGCGCTGGTTTTCGTTAACTTGCAATCGTGCGTGGCTTCCCCGGGGCGCGTCCGAAGACGCCAGGCGGCGGCGCCGCCTTCTGGCTCGCACGCGGAAGTGTTGTTTGTTTTTTGCTGTCTGTTTCTAATTGCGCATGGCTGCGCCAGAGCGCGTCCGAAGACGCCAGGCGGTGGCGCCGAACCCTGGCTCGCCCGAGCTGGATGCTGCTCATTCGCGATTACGCATGGCTGCGCCAAAGCGCGTCCGAAGACGCCAGGCGGTGGCGCCGACCTCTGGCTCGCCCGAATTAGTTTTTTTTTTTGCGATTGCGCATGGCTGCGCCAGAGCGCGTCCGAGGACGCGAGGCGGTAGTGCCGACCCCTGGCTCGCCCGCGTTGGTTGTTGCTCATTTGCGATTGCGCATGGCTGCGCCAAAGCGCGTCCGAGGACGACAGGCGGCGGCTCTCCATCCTGGCTTGCCCGCGCTGGTTTTGCTCATATGCGCCGACGCGTTGTTTCCCCAGCGCACCCGAGGACGCGCAATCGCAAACGAGCGACAAACGAGGCGGGCGAGCCCAGAGGTCGGCGCCGCCGCCTGGTGTCCTCGGACGCGCCCTGGCGCGGCCTCGCGCAATCGCCAACAGGCAACAACCGACGCGGGCGAGCCAGGGGTCGGCCCAACCGCCAGGCGTCCTCGGACGCGCTCTTGCGCAGGCGTGCGAAATCGCAACTGAGCGAAGACCCAAGCGGGCAAGCCAGATCCAGGACGGAGCCGCCGCCTGGCGCCCTCGGTCGCGCTCTGCTACGGCCATGCGCAATCGCAAGTACGCGAAAACCTAGATGGCGAGCCAAAGGTCGGCGCCGCCGCCTGGCGTCCTCGGACGCGCCCTGGCGCAGCCTCGCACAATCGCACATAAACATAAACCAACGTTGGCCAGCCAGAAGTCGGCCCAACCGCGAGGCGTCCTTGGACGCGCCCTGGCGCAGCCATGCGCAATCGCAAATGAGCAAAAACCAATGCGGGCGAGCAAGAGGTCGGCGCCGGCGCCTAGCGTCCTCGGGCGCGCTCTCGCGGTGCTATGCGCAACCGGAACAAAACAAAAACCAACGCGAGAGAGCCAGAGGTCGGCGCCGCCGCTTGGCATCCTCAGACGCTCTCTGGCGCAGCCATGCGCGATCGCAAATAAGCAGAATCCGACGCTGGCGGACCAGAGGTCGGCGCCGCCGCCTGGCGCCCTCGGACGCGCTCCGGCGCAGCCATGCGCAAGCGCACATAAGCAAGAACCAACGCGGGCGAGCCAGAGGACGGCCAAACCGACAGGCGTCCTCGGACGCGCTCTGGCGCAGCAGTGCGCAATCGCAAATGACCAAAAACCAACGCGGGCGAGACAGAGGTCGGCGCCGCCGCCCGGCATCTTCGGACGCGCTCCGGCGCGGCCATGCGCAACTGCTAAAGAGCAACCCGTCGCGAGCGATCCAGCGGTCGGCGACGCCGCCTGGCGTCCTCGGACGCGCTCTAGCGCAGCCACACGCAATCGCAACAAAGCGAAAAACCACCGCGGGCGAGCCAGAGGTCGGCGCCACCGCCCGGCGTCCTCTGACGCGCTCTGGCGCAGCCATCGCAATCGCATGAGCAAAACCAGCGCGAGCGAGCCAGAGGTCGGCGCCGCAGCCTGGCGTCCTCGGACCCGCTCTGGCAAAGCCATGCGCACCCGCAGATCAACAGAGACCAAGGTTGGCGAGCCAGAGGTCGGCGCCGCCGCCTGGCGTCCTCGGACGCGCTCATGCGCGGCCGTGCTCGATCGCTGATAACTTAAGCATAAAGCATCGCGGGCGAGCCGGAGATCGGCGCCGCCGCCTGGCGTCATAGGATGTGCTGTGGCGCAGCCGCGCGCAATCGCAAATGAGCAAAAACCAGCGCGGGCAAGCCAGAGGTCGGCGCCGCCGCCTGGCGTCCTCGGACGGGCCCTAGCGCAGCCATCCGCTGTCAAATATGGAAAAAAACATAGCGGGCGAGCCAGGTCAGCGCCCCCGCCTGGCATCCTCGGACGCGCTCTGGCACAGCCATGCGCAAACGCGAATGCGCAAAAACCAAAGAGCGGGCGAGCCAGATCGAAGTCGGCGCCGCCGCTTGGCGTCCTCGGTCGCGCTCTGCTGTAGGCACGCGCAAACGAAAATCTGGAAAAACCAACGCGGGCGAGCCAAAGGTCGGCGCCACCGCCTGGCGTCCTCGGACGCGCTCTGGCGCAGCGGCGCGCAATCGTAAATTTGCAAAAACCAGCGTGGGCAAGCCAGCGGTCGGCGCCGCAGCCTGGCGTTCCCGGACTTGCCCTGGCGCAGCCATACACAATCGCATATAGCAAAAACCAGCGCGGGCGAGTCTGAGGTCGGCGCCGCCGCCCGGCGTCATCGGACGCGCCCTGGCGGAGCCATGCGCCATCGCAAATGATCGGAAACGAACGCGGGCGGGCGCCACCGCCTGGCGTCCTCGGACGCACTCTGCCGCAGCCGTGCGCAATCGCAAATGGGTCAAAACCAACGCGGGCGAGCCAGTGTCGGCCAAACCGCGAGGCGTCCTCGGACGCGCTCTGACGCAGCCGTGCGCAACCGCAAACAAACAAAAATCAGCACGGGCCAGCCAGAGGTCGGCGCCCCCGCCTGGCGTCCTCGGACGCGCCCTACTGCTGCCATGCGCAAATTGCAAGTGAGCAAAAGCCAGCGGGGGCAAGCCAGAGGCCGGCGCCGCCGCCCGGCGTCCTCGGACGCGCTCTAGCGCAGCTGTGCGCAATCGCAGACAAGCAGAAACCACCGCGGAGGGGCCAGGGGCCGGCGCCGCCGCCTGGCGCCCTCGAAAGCGTTCTGGCGCAGCCATGCGCAATCGCAAACTTGCAAAAAACATAGCGGGCGAGACAGGGATCGGCGCCGCCGCCCGGCGTCCACGGACGCGCTCTGGCGCGGCCGCGCGCAATTGCGCACATTCAAAGAAAACGGCGCGGGCGAGCCAGGGGTCGGCGCCACCGCCCGGCGCCCTCGGGCGCGCTCTGGCGCAGTCGCGAATAATGCAAAAAAAGAATCAAAAAAACAGCGCGGGCGAGCCAGATCGGCGCCATCGCCCGGTGCCTTCGGAAACGCGCAACCGCAAACCAGCGAAAAGCAACGCGGGCGAGCCAGAGGTCGGCGCCGCCATTCGGCGCCCTCGGGCGCGCCCTGGCGCAGCCACGCGCAATCGCGATGAACAAAAAACCAGCGTGGGCAAGCCAGGGGTCGGCGCCGCGGCCAAGTGTCCTCGGGCGCGCTCTGGCGCCGCCGTGCGCAATCGCAAACAAGCAAGAACCAGCGCGGGCGGGCCAGGTCGGCGCCGCCGCCTGGCGTCTTCGGACGCGCTCTGGCGCGGCCATGCGCAATCGCGAAACATGCGAAAACCAACGCGGGCAAGCCAGAGGTCGGCGCCGCGGCCA